CAGTAGAACCTTTATTATCTTTGGACCTGGAGACCTGGAAGTGGCATTACAGATGTAAAGATTCTTTTACACTGTCTGCTTGGACATAGATGCATAGGCATGTGTTTGTAGAGACATATGACATGCATACAAGTGTTTTGCTTTTAGGAAAACTATTTTTTTTACTAACATTTCTCAAAAGTTCCATACCATGTGGAGGAAGTGGAAGACATGATTTTCTGAGACATTGTTAGTGTCTTACAGAGAAACATACTCTATCATGTTTGTCATGGAAAAAATCTTTCCTTACTCTACATCCCACATCAGTTCATGCCCTTCAAAGAAAGCTGATGTTCATTTCATTACCCACATGACACATTTTCTCCCCAAATTGCTTTCATCCTCACTGTGGAAGCAGGTGGTGCACTGACATCTTCCCATCTTCCAGATGGCCCTGCCTTCCTCTTGGCTTCTAAAAGAGTTCCAAATTCAGGTCAGATGGATGTTTCTTTGGTTTTTCTGTGGAAGCATTTCCCCTAAATTGTCCTGTTTCTTCCTTTCTGGTGGCAAGTATTCAATTCCACAGCCTGTCTTGCGCCCCCCTAAGGCTGGGACCTGGCAGAGTTAGCAGGTCAGACCTTCAGTACCAGACACATTTGAATCTACCCCCCAGAAAAACATGACCCAGTCACAATAGGGGACTCCTACTTTTCACCAGGGAATCTGAAAATGTTCCTGGTGATTTAGTGATCAGGAACTATGGAAGTTAAACCATTGCATTGTATGAGAGAATCTCATCCAAAAGGAATTGTCTCACCCTGTTAAAACTACACCATCCCTGAAAAATCACTTAACTACAAGAGGAAATTAATTTCCTCAAAAGAAAGATTGAGATCACAGAAATTGGCTGAGCACAATTGAAGGGAAAAATGAGAAATTAAGACCAAGAGAGGCAAGATTTAAGACCATATTCTTAAATCTAACTATCCAGAAAAGGAGAAAATGTTTGTTGTTATTAGAGGAGACACCGTGATACAGATCCAAAAAAAATCTTGGGTAGAATGAGAGAAGACAGCAAACTTTACTGTTTTCAAACCTTGCCAGTGACAAGGATCCAAAAGGCAAGGCAGAGGCAACTTCATAAAGCTAAGTGGAAAATGCATAATTTAAGCAATTGGGCACCCACAACTTTGACTGAGAACACTTTTCAAGTAGTCACAAAAGGTCTGGACAAGCTTGATTCAGTGGTGCACAGCTATTCAGGAGGCTAAGGCAGGAGGATTACAAATTCAAAGCCAGCCTGGGTAACTGAATATGACTTTGTCTTAAAATTAAAAAAAAAAAAAAAAAAAAAAAGAGGGCTGGGATATAGTTCAGTGGAAGTACTATTGGCTAGCATACACAAGGTCCTGGGTTCAATCATTGAAATCTTAAAAGGAAAAAGATCTTGACACATTGTAGAGGAGCAGACCAGGAAAACTGATAGAAAATAAAATACTGAAGACATAAAAGACAAGTATCAGTGTGACAGCTTTGGGTAAGCAGGGAGATCTTACCTGAGCTCTAGTGGAACATGGTAGCTTACTAAATGGAATAGATTTCTAGCAATGATGAACTGCACAACAGGGAGACAGAGAGAAATATTTGGAGAGTGAGTCCTTGTTTGATGGGAACTCTCAGCTGAGTAGAATTGCTCCAACTAGGGAGAAGAATGGCACAGGCTATTTTGAACCCCTGTTCTGACTGGGTCTCTGACATTTTAATATAAAGCCATGGCCAAAGATTACACAAATATCAAGTCCAGAATGAGAACCTGAAACCATGTGTTGAAAGGAACCCTCAGGAGATTATGGGTAAGTCGCGTGAGTTCCAAGACTTTCCGTCACGGCATCACGTTCAACCTTGGCAATTTGTCACAAGCATCTACCTAGGAGTGGCATGAAGATTTAAAGTTATAAGCTTGCATACACTAAAGTTTACAAGGACTTTAACAACATAATGGCTAGGTTCAGTGCTAAACAGAAAAACTAGGAATGTTTACTTTTCTAACATCTACGAGGCCTGGGCGTGGAAAAATACATGTCTCCTATAGTTAAAGTGTTTTTCTAGTTTACTGAGGCGATGCTGTGTTCAGCTACTGTCAGTTGACCACCCCTCTGACACCCAGGATAGACGTCTGGTGTCTGCAGTCCTTTCTATATAGCTGCATCGCGTAATCCTCTTCTAAGCAAGAGTGAAGTGAACAGGGCAAAATTCTGAGTAAACTAAGGTTAGAGTCACTCATTCAGACCACAGCAGATAAAAATGAACTTCACATGAAGAAATGGGAATTGTGGCCTATCTCTAAGTTTAAAAACACAACAAAGCTGTGGTACAAAACCCTGAATCCCTTACTGTGCTGGAAGTCTAATTTTCATTGTTGTCTTAATATCCACATTGTCCTCAAGTATCTCGTTTCCTCGTACTCTCTCAACATGGCTCTTCTGCTCTCCAGTTCAAGAATTCTTCTTGATTGTTAAAGACAGAGTTTAAACATTGTTTTAATAGCTGTATATCAGATCCTGAGATACTTGAATCACAATTGTTACAGTACTTTCTTGACTCAATACAATGATCTACATTATATGTAAATGTAATTAGATTATGTGTATTTAAACCATTTATTAAGTATATAATTCAGAACATAAAAGCATATGGAAAGCTTATAAGCCTGTATTTCCATCATTAAAATATTATAGTAACTATTTATTTAGAGACATAGTTCATATGTGCCTGTATTTTACAAAACTGCACTAATTTAGAAAATAACATATATTGACACTTTTCAAAAAATCCCAGGTATCATTTATATATGATATGTCCATGTATTGGATATTTAGACTGTTTCTTTGTTTATATTATGTAAACAACTTTTGGAGGTCATTTTAAAATTCAAGGGCACAGAAATTTTGTCTGTAGATGTTTAATTTTGTGACTTGCCCCAAATAGTAAATTATATAGTATTTGAAATAATATTTTTATCATGAGCTAAATTATTATTTGCATCTGAGATTTTAATCAGATTACAGGATAATAAATTCATAGATACACTATAAATTCATAGACACTGACTTCACTCAGGCCTATATGACTTATTTTTATATCTTCACTGTTGGCCTCCATTTTTATTCCTATAGGTATTAGGAATAAAAACCCCTGCTAGACTTCTGTGCTGGTCCCTCAGTCTCTTGGTCAACCCTACAGATGTGATTTTTTTCTCCTGAAGCATCCCTTCATTATTATCCAAAGCTGCTTCAAACAGGTAGAAGAAACTTGGTAGAAGCCGACGATGAAGATCTGTGGTGTACCAGATCTGTAGCTTCAGAAGCCCTAAATCAAGGAATCAGCATGCAAAACTTCTGAAATTTGTAAGGGAGAATGCTGCCTGGCTTCTTCCCAGGTTCTGCAAGTTCTTGGCAGTTCACGGTGTCTCTTGGCTTGCAAGGATCATTCCAATTGGCTGCCTGCGTAGTCACATAGACATCAACCTGGTGAATCTTCACGTTGTTTTCCTGTGTGTGTCAGTGTGAAAAATTTCCTTTTTTTTTTTATAAGGACTCCATTATTTGTACTGAATTGGGAGCCCATCCTACCGTAACATGATATTTTAACTAACTATATCTGCCTTTAATTTCTGTATAAAGTCACATTCTGAGACAATGGAGATAGGATTTAATCATTTATATTGGAAAGAATCAATTCAATCCATAATTCCTGCTCCACTCAATTAATTTCCTTATATGTTCTGTGCTGTCATTTTAGTCCCATCCTCTTATATAAACTACAGTTTTCCTTTTTCATCAGACTAGTTCTATGTTTTTATTCATAAGCCCACTCTTTCTATCTGCTCTGAAAATTTGGTCCATCAACCAATAATCATCTTGGAGCATTCATCTTCTGTTGTCCAACAAAACTTCCCAGGCTTATAACCACATGCCTACAACCTTTTCTTTTAAAGTTAGCACAGTTACTTTACCTGAGTCTGGTTTAACTGTAGGTATATCTTTCTCCTATTCTTAGGTATTCCAGTTCTTCACTCCTGTCACCAGCATTGTCAGTGTACTGTTTCCATAAAGAATTGGCATTTTTCTCCTTTGACACAAGCCATTCGATATGTGAAGGTAATTGAAGAACATCCGAGCTGAGTTGAATGTCAATACTGAATAGTTGGCTCAGGCCTTTCCTGGTTACCATGTGGTTTTTGCCATCAGCCTGACAATGTTTAAACTAATGTTTGTGACTTAGAAGAATCGTGACTATGTACCTTGGATGTTTAAATTTGTTGTTAGACTGTAATAGCAGAGAGTGTCAGATATGTCACATTATAATTAATTGTTTAGTCATACATATCAACCTTTACCTAACTGAGAGTTGAGAAGATATTAAATTAATTTTGTATCCCCAGAACCTAACAAAGATCTTGGATTCTATCAGGGGACCATTAAATACTTTTTGATGAATAAACTCACAGATGAACTCATGCTGTCTATTCTAAGAGATGTAGTGATGCAAAATGAAACTGATTTGCTGGTGTAAAGCTCAGTTTTAAGCTGCATGTGGTGGTAAATGCCTGTAATATCAGCATTCAAGAGGCTGAGGCAGGAGGATTGGCATGAGTTCAATGCTGGCTTGGGTAACATACTGATTTCAAAGCCAGCCTAAATTACATAGCTTTTGATATCTTGTTTCAAAAAACAAAACAAAACAAAATAAAAAAACAGTTTTATACTTTGATCTCCTTAGTTTAGTACTTCAATGAATATAATTGCTGATTATAAATGATCTTTGTAGTACAAATTAGGTCTGAATTTACAAACAGATTTTTATGAAATATTTATCATTTATCTCAAAATGAATTGTTTTATAAAAGGTGCTTGTATGAAAATAATTTTAGAAAAGACTGAACCTTTTCATTCATTCATTCATTCATGCATGCATTCATTTTGTTCTTTCACATGCTTATTACTTTACCATTATTGCTATTTTAAATTGAAAAATAACCATGTTTATTGTCACATGTACAATATAATATTTTGAAGTATCCATGCATTGTGAAATGACTAACACCAGCTATGAGTTTTTTAAGTGTTTTTAAAGCACATACATTATTTACATTTGTACTAGGCTACATGTGATGGAAACACATTTCTGTTGCTATCAACCAAGTAGCAGTTTATCTTTCTTATACAGAAAAAGTAAATGCAAGGACAGGCAGCCCAGGTGGGGTGGAAGTTTCAGGAAGCTAATAGTGATGATGATTCTGCCCTCTTTAGTAGAGTCTGAAGCTTTCTTTCTCACATACATACGGTGGCTGCTGGACTTCTGGGACTTGTATTTGGATTCTGGAAAGGAAGACAGGAGAAAAGTCAAGAGCTGAAAGTGGAAGGCAAAACCATGTATCTCATACTTCAGAGATGAAATACATTTTTCCCCAGTTGTCTACCTAATTATGCCATAGGGCTAGCCCTAGCTTTAAGACTGGAGTATTACTGTTTTAAAGCTAAGATGTGTTACTAAGAAAAAATAAGGGATAGAGGTTAGACTGGTATTATTCTTTACATCTAAAATACCTCCCCAGCTCTCATAATTAGAAGTGAGGCTGTTGGAAGGTGATTGGATCATGGCAGCTCTTGTACACATCAGTGAGTTCATCCATTGATAAGTTTGGACCTGGATGTGGTGTTAGGAGGTAGGGTCTGGTCAGGAGAGGCAAATTGCTGGGCGCATGACCTGGAAGAGTATGTTCTTATTCCAGCCTCCTCTTTCCTCTCTCTCTCTGTTTCTTGGCTCATGAGTTTGGAAGCTTTTCTCTGTCATGCTCTTCTCTCATGGCTTCTCTGCATTGGAGCCAGCCGACTGGACTAAACCTTCTGAAACTCTGTTCCATAATAAACCACAACTCCTTTACATTTCAAGTGTTAGGCATTTTGTCCCAGTGACAAGACATTGACTGATAGAATTGGCAACGATCAATGTCTAAAACTAATGTGCATTTTTGTCTCTTAACAAAAAACATAGTCATATGTGGTGTTCTCTGTCATATGTTCTCACAGAGACCTTCTGAGAAAACTTTACAGGCATTTTGTCAATAATAAAATTGTTACCATAACCTGAATGCAGCCTTTCAAAGATTTAGTCTCTCTAGCATATACTTCTGTGTTTGCTGAAAGGAAACATTAGCAAAGTTAATTTTATTCAGACTGCATTGTTGAAGAATGAAATCTTTTGCTTTAGGTTACAATACTCTCGGAAGGTCTTAGCTGATGAGGACACTGATGTATCAGGAATTTTTCTCAAACAGTGACACACAAGAATCCACTTAAAATAGACACAGCAATTCTCACTAGAGCTAATCCTTGATCTGTCCCGCTTCTCCCTAATTCTCAGAATGAATGAAGTAAACTGGAAGAAGCTGAACATAACATATTTCTTATCTTCACTGTGGTAGGTCTACTGTATTTATGCTTTAATGACTTGTAGTAAGTTTTGATTTACTTACTCTTCCCATTTATTGTAGTCAGGGATTGTGCAGAGAACAATTAGAATCAGGACATGGAATTTATATTGTTTTGTGATGTTCATTCAGAGTTAACACAAGAAAATGCAGGAAATCTGTCCACAACACCAATGACATAGAATATTCAACCAAGGGTTGAACCCCACAGCAATGTCCTGTATAAGTTCAGATGAAAACCCAGAGCCCATGACAATGCCTCCCGTGAGTCTGACTGAATGTCTAGAACCCACAAGAAGGACTTACACCAGTCCGTTTTACGGATCTGTGCTCGGAAGGCCCAAAGGTCAGCGGCGGAAGCTAGAAAGTCCATGTCAGTGAGGTGGAAGAGTTGTGCTGGTAGGTTGAGGGTTCTGTGCTGGACCCGTGAAGTCTCACTTATAATAAAGACCAGGGCTGTCCTGAAAAGCACCACAGCCATCCTCAGCAACACGGAGATCTCAAGCTCCTCCAAAGATAAGCACAGTTGAGTATATGCCAGGAAGTCAGCATGATGAGTTTGTCCTGGAGATTAAGTGGCACAGCTCTTCCCCTTTGGAGCCAGGAAGCAATGCTCAATGTAAGGACCAGAGCTCCCCCAAAGTGAACCACAGCCACTCTCACTACCAAGGTCCTGAGCTCCTCCGATGACAATGGTCAAACTCACAATGGGGAAGCTAGTCATGACAAGCTCCTCCAGGAGAACCAACTGCTCAGACAGCAACACTTAGTGAAACCCACAATGCCTCAACACCTCAATCCCTCAACACCTCAACATCTCATCACCTTTTTCTCCTTCTTCACGTCTCTATTTATGCTGGCAACTTTCCTCAAGTGAAACATCTATGCTCAGTACCACAGTGATTTAATTCCGCTGGCGTAAAGTTGACCACCAGTTTCCAGTCCATGACACCATTAAAGATGATAACTAAAACATTGTATCCAAAGGTTAGGTATAGCATTCTGTGTATTTTAAATTAATCTTGTTTTAGAGTAGTTTTAGGTACATGGCAACATTTTCCACATGTTCCATATCTCATATATGCACTTTCAATATACCTCGTTGCCATCTAAGCTCCATAGATCACTCCTAGTATACAACCAAGAGATTTAAAAACTCCATAGTCATAGGTAGCCACCATTATGTTATCACACAGCACAGATCCACTAGGCTAAAAATTCCCTGTGCTCTGCCATGCACTCATTCCTTCTTTCAAATGCCTGACAGTCCCTGATTTTTGAATCTCTCTACAGTTTGCCTTTTCTAGATTACTATATCATATATTTGGAATTACGCACATTACCTTTCAGACAGGCTTCTTTCACTTAGTGGTGCAATTTTAGGTTTATCTATGTCTTTTCATGACTAAATAAATTTTATCCTTTTAGCACTGAATATGATTGCACACTTGAATGTACCACAATCTATGTGTCCATCCATTCACCTACTCAAAAGCATCTTGGTTGCTTTGAATGATAGCAATTATAAATAAATGTTCTATCAAACGCCATTGCAGGTGTTTTGTGTGGTAATAGTTTTCAGTTCCTTTTGATTGGATGCAGAGTGGGAGCTCTAACTTTAATGTGGACAACACAATGCTGTAGGTTGGGGCTGCAGGTGAAACCAAAGCAGAAGTAAAAAGCTCACCAGCAAATACATTCTTTCTCTCTCATTTTGTTTCCAGCCCGCATGAGAATGATCTGCCTTGCTCCCTCTCGCTCTTCCATCTACATGTACTACCTCACCATCAGCCAGAAGCAATGAAGCTTTCTATTATTTCAAACTCAACTGATGTTGAATCTTGATTACACTGGAAATATATCTCATCTTTATCTTATAATGTATTATAATCAGGGGAATAAAATTCTTTATATTTATAGTTTCACCACATATAGAGGAGAGGATACACTGGGGTTTGGGAATCTTGAAAACTGTCTTAGAATTCTGCCTACTGTATTTTATGGCTAGCGTATCTGAAGACATGAGTTCAAAGAGATACAATCACAAATCCTGGCTTGATCCTTATGATGGGATTATTGGATTTATGAAGGGGCTGGAAAGAATTAGCCAGGCCTTTGTTTCTTTTTTGCTGAGTGAGAACATGGGATTCAGTGTGTCATCTTTGAAGCAGAGACCAGGTCCTCACCAAATGCTGAATCCACCAGTATCATGGTCTTGGACTTCCAAATTTCTGATACTGTGAGAAATAGAATTCTGTTATCTATAAATTATCCAGCCTCAGAAATTTTGCTATAGCAACACAAACAGGCTAAGAAAGCAGCACATGCATATTTTTCTTTTATAAAATTATTATATAAGACAATCAAGGTATTGAAAAAGATGCTTGTTACAGCCCAATGAAATTGAGAAAATTCTTGTCTTACATCGTTACCAACAATGACAACTGTGTGATTTTTAAATTTGTTTTCTATCTGAGAGATGCAAATCAATGTGTCATTTTGTTCAAAATTCCTTAATTACTACTCATAAATAATGCACTCATTTTTTAAAGTTCAAAAACAGTGAAGGGTCTTATATGTTATTCTGCTTGCAAACTAAAATGTTGACCTAGTATAGTTTCATCTATCATCTATCATCTATCTATCTATCTATCTATCTATCTATCTATCTGTCTGTCTATCTATCTACATATCTACCAATATTTATCATCCACTTATCATCGTCATCAACACCAACATGTCCATATTTAGATGCTAGTTATGCACACTTTTATCTGTATCAGTCAGCTTTTTGGTCATTGTAAAAATTAATGAGATAATCAACTTACAAAGTGAAAAGTTTCATTTTGACTCAGGTTTTGGAGATTTCAGTCCATAATAATTTGACATCATTGCTTATAATAGGACTTTGATGAGGCACTAAATCATGATAGGAGTATATAGCAGAGCAAACCCCCTCATGTCATGGCCAGAAGGTAAGAGAGGAGGTGGAAAGTGTTGGGGTTCAAATAACCCCTTCAAAATCTCTACCCTTCTTTGAGTCCCCAGAGATCTGAATACCTCTCATTAAGCCCCTGTAGGATCATACCAGGGACCAACCTTTATCATGTAGATCTTTGGGAAACTTAACATCCACACTATACCATGTCCTTTGCATGTCTCCACAAGGCAACTCAGTGAGTTTGTCTGTATATTTGTCTGTATATGCCAGGTTTTTGTACCAAAGATAAAAACCCTGAAATTATAAGCCTTAGACAGTTAGCATATCTACTTCTCCTCTGGAGAAACAGTACTTCCTAACAAGCAAACTTTCAAAGAGGAGGAGAGGGAACTATCCTGTATTATAAGCAAATATTTCTGGAAGACAAGAAAAAGTTGTTTCTAGGTTTTATTGCCATTAGAATACAAATAAATGGCTCCTGGGAAAGAAATCTCTAAATCTTATCCAGAGCAATTTACTTTCTTTAACTTCTAAAGCATGTATGCCACTCAATCATAAAATCTGGGCTTTACAGAAATATGGAAGTATTCACAGACTATTGCCTGCCAACAGTAGTTTGCTAAGGCAAGTGGTGAAATGGCACTGTAAGTTATGCACACATGTGCATGCTCACCTATGTTTAGGCTTGCATAAGCATGAAACTAGGCCTTCTGTCTCCTTACTCCTTACCTCTAGTTCTATTCCTCAAAAATAAATACATGCAGCTCTTTGTAATTTATTCTGCTATTTACATTCATATCTCTAGATAACCTGAACATATTGCAAATCTTGAATTTAAAATTTTACCTGTTATCTTTCATTATAGATTGAAATAACTCTCTTCCATGCTCCCTCTCCCTGTTCTTATGTGTGTCTCATTTTTTCTTCTTTTATATAAAATTACAACA